TTTATTGTGCCCATTTTTGCATGAAATGTTCCCTTGGTATCTGTAATTTTTTTGAACAGATCTCTAGTCTTTCCCGTTCTATTGTTTCTCTATTTCTTTGCATTGATCACTGAGGAAGACTTTCTTATCTGTCCTTGCTATTCTTTGGAACTCTGTATTCAAATGGATATATCTTCCTTTTTCTCCTTTGCCTTTCGCTCCTCTTCTTTTCTCAGCTATTTGCAAGGCCTCCTCAGACAGCCATTTTGCCTTTTTGCATTTCTTTTTCTTGGGGATAGTCTTGATCACCACCTCCTGTACAATGTCATGAACCTCCATCTGTAGTTCTGCAGACACTCTATCAGATTCAACCCCTTGAATCTATTTCTCAGTTCCACCGCATAATTGTAAGGGATTTGATTTAGGTCATACCTGAATGGTCTAGTGGTTTTCCCTACTTTCTTCAATTCAAGTCTGAATTTGGCAATAAGGAATTCATGATCCGAACCACAGTCAGCTCCGGTCTTGTTTTTGGCTTATTTTGGCTTGAATTGATAAATGGCTTAAACTTGTCAATTAAAAACAGACATTATTAGATTGGATTTTTTTTTTAAAAGATTCAACGATAAACCCTAGAGAATGATAAGCTCAAGCAACTCTGTAAATCTGTAAACTACTGTTTGTAGCTGCTCTAGTCATAAGCTTCAAAAACAGGATCTAAGCCCCATGTCCTTCCCTTCCTTGTGACATGTCTCTTCCATGTGACAGAAATATGACTTGGCAGTGAAAGTCGCGGGTGGGGACAGCCGTGCCTCGAGTGGGACGCACAGCCATCCTGCGGAGCAGAGGAGCGCGTCTGACACCGTCTGGCTCCGTGTGCGGCCTCCAGAAAGGGCTGTAGGGACAGAGAGCACGCCAAGGTCGGGGCTGGGGGCGCGACTGCAGGGCTCCCTGAGGGCGTGTCCCAGGAGGGCCGGACTGTCGTGGTGCAGGTGGGCCCCTGAATGTACAAAGGTGATAAAGCTCACAGAACTCTACACCACAAAAGAGTGTTTTATTGTATGCAAAAATTTTACAAGCACACAGAAATTGGGGAGAATCCACTTTTTAAAAGCTATAAACGTATGTCCCCATGTGTTCCTAGTCATGTATGGTGACTCATCGTAGACGGTTGTAACTTTTCCAGCCCATAAGTACCTGTGTGTGAGGCACACATTTCTTGATTCGTTGTGTAGGGAAGTTCAGTCAGTCATTTCAGCCACTGATAGAGCTTCTCCTTTGAATTGAAAAAGATTGCAGTTTACGATTCTCTCTCGGTGTGTATTGGGAAGGAAAGTGGCCCCCAAAATGTTCATGTTTTAATCCCCAGATCCTGATATCATGTTTGTTTATATGATACAGTGAGTGGATGGTATGAATATCGCCAATTAGCTAACCTTAAAGCGGAGGCTGATCCTGAATTATCTGGAGGGCCTGATGTAATCCCAAGGTCCTTAAAGTGGAAGTGGAGGCAGGAGAGGTCAGAGGGCTGAGTCTGGCCATGGCTGGCCTTGGCGATGGAGGAACATCCATGAGCCATGACCTGTTGTCTGTCAGAAGCCGGAAAAGATGGAAACGAGGCAAAGGATTCTGCCCTGGAGCTTCTAGAAGTAGCTCTGTTATTGATGGTGTTTCCAACCTAGTGAGACCAGTTTAGGACTCTACACCCGCAGGTCTTAGATGTGGGATTTACATTGTTTGAAGCCACTAGGTTGGTGCTACTTGTCACAGACCCAAGATGCTAACACACGGTCTTGCGGTCTGACTGCTCCCAGCCACCTGCTCTTGTCCCTCAGGTATGACAGGAAGCTCAGATCCCTCGCCCCGTCCAGACCTCCAGGGCAGTCACGATCTGGGGTCCAGCCACTGGCTTCCAGAGGTTTCTGCCCCACTGAGGGAGGCACTGACCTGAGACCCCGGAGAACTGGTGCCACCCCTCCGGCAGACCTGGGGGCCTTCCAGGCCAGTCCCTTGGGGATCAGAAGCGCATGGCCCAGGGCAGTTTCTCCACATGAAGATCAGAGAAGCAGCCTCTGTCCAGGGCCAGGCCACAGGTCGAGATCATCCCAACACCCCACCAGCCTGTTGGCTGAAATGTGGAGCCCAGGACCCACCAGTGTGTGCAAGAGCCACCCTTCTGGGTCATCACCAAGCTCGCCCGTCTGATGACTGCCAGGGTGCCTCTGGGCGAAGCTCGCGGCTGCCGAGGGCCCAGCCCTCCCTGCCCCCCCAGTCCCTCTTCTGCGCTCAGACTGTGGGGTGCAGGGTGGTTCAGAGCCTGCCGGCAGACAGGAGGACCAATTACCACCCCAGCCCTGGGGGCACGGCAGTGGGGGGCTGTGACGAGGGAACTGGAAGGAAAAGCTGCCCTGCACCGCGTTCTGGGGCTCCTGTCAGCGGGCTGTAATTAGATAATCAAATGCCAGGGCTGCCAGGAGGGCCCTGGGGGCCGCCGCGGGCAGGTTGCTCCGAAACCCGCACAGGAAACCCCCGGGAACCCACGGGCAGGGAGCCGCGGACGCTCCCGCCGCGTGGGCCGCCCTTTCCTGGGACGGTCACTCGGGGCGCAAGACGCGTCCCGGGGGGTTTGTGTCTAAGCCCTCCGCTGTGAAAAGGAGGCACCGGAGAGGCCGGGGTGGCGGCCTGGCCTCCTCGGGGGGCGGTCGTGACCGGCGTCGGAGAGGTGATGGGGCCCGGCGGGGGCGGAGGGGTGGCAGCAAGTGCGGGCACAGAGGCTGCGGAGGAAAGAGCCCCAGGTCGCGAGCTTCTCAGACCCCTTCATGCGTTTGCGGGAAAGGCTGTGTTTGCACCTGCCCCGGGCCGGCCGGTCCCCACGCGCCCCTCCTGGCCGTGGACGCCCTTCCTGCTGCCCTTTGTAGCCACGGCTCCTTCCGCGCCTGCGCTCTGCTCACCAGCCGCCACCCCCGCCCAGGCCCCCTGCCCACGCCCTGTCCCTGAGCTGCTGACCGCTGAGCCAGGGCCGACAGTCCTCTCTCTCTCTCACTGTCTGTTATTAAGTTGTTATTGTTTAGTCGCTCAGTCCTGTCTGACTCTTTGCAACCCCGTGGACTGCAGCATGCCAGGCTTCCCTGTCCTCCACCAATGCCTGAAGTTGCTCAAACTCACATCCATCGAGTCGGTGACACCATCCAACCATCTCATCCTCTGTTGCCCCCTTCTCCTGCCCTCAATCTCAATCACAGCTGTTACCAAATGGGCATAAATTATCAGTAATGGCTACTCAGTTTCCGATCTTTGAGACTTTTTTTCCGAGAAGAAGACTGGTTGTGAAAGAAGCCTAGCTTTTAGCCCATGAATTGCCTGACGGGCAGGGGGGTAACCTGCATGAATATGAAAACAGAAATTTCTGCAATATGAAAGCAGAAATTGTGTCCTGGAACTGAGAGCAGACGTTGTCTAGAGAGAGGTTTAATTCTGCTGAGCACTCAGGAGTCTGCAGCAATGCTTTAAAGTGCCTTGACTTTGTGCGTTAACATGGGTTTGGACTATGTGACCGGATGAAGAGGGCATATCGCTACAATAGTTTTTCCTCTGAGACGTTGTTAATTCCATAGTTGCCATTTCTCATGCCCCCAATTTACTCAGCCCACCTATAGCGAACGGTGAGTGTGATTGGGTTATTGTAAGTGGGGTTGTTTGAAGGCACCGGAAACTGACTCTCCTGGGAAACTCTGCGGCCAGAGGAGCTTTTCAGGGATCCACACCTGTGTCCCCCATCACTGAGGCCTCATGCCACTTCCTGGCGGAGTCCAGGACCATTCAGACCGTTCTTTCTCAGCTGCTGCAAGATAAGCCCACTGCTGTGAGAAGGGAAATACTTGTGGTTTGGCTTCCCCTTCGGGCTGACGTTTTCCATCAAGAGGAATGAAAGTTTTACTCTTTAAAGATTATGTCAGGCAGGAGTTAAATGGCATTGATATTTATTACTACAAACAAATCAGCTAAAACAGAACAACAAAAGCAAGAGCAGCCAAGTACCCCTGAACTGTGTTATTTCTGCTTCAGGTGGAAGCAGCTGTGTGTAACTCAAAGAGAAAACACAAGAAATAGCACGTTATGCAAATGTATGGTTTGGAACTTGGAGACAAAGCACCAAGCACATTTTCAATATGCAAATAAAAATACTAGTTTCATAGAAAATTTGTACATGTGTTAAACAGCCCACAGATTTAGGGTGTGGTGGTGGTGAAACAGACCAGGACTCCTGCTTGGGCGGGTTGACGGTTCTGGCAGTCATGCCACTGAGCGCAACGGTGCTGGTCTGGGGTGTTTCCGCCCTGCGGCCCCGCTCCAGACAGCCCTGTCTCTGCCGCATCCTGCGGGCCTGCTGGGGAGGAGTGCTCCTGGAGAGGCCCTGCCGCGGCAGGGGCCCTAGGGCATCAGTGGGTCGCCCTGGGTGCGGTCCCTTTGTCCCCGAGTGAGGCTCTTCTCCAGCAGCACCTGCCCAGGCAAGAACAGACCCGCCGACAGGGTGGGGGGCAGGCTCTTCTCTCACTCCACACCCCCAGAATGTGGGGGCCGCCCCCACTTTGCTGGCCTGCCAGGCAGAGAGCTGCTGCAGCCTACAGCTCGAGGGGACCACACTCCCAGGCTGGCAGGGTCGCCGCATTGACGCGGGCCAGTGTCCAAATTTCTGCTGAAGTTGGACAGCTCTTCCGATGGCCCCTTTGTGTTTTTTCTCATTGGTGTTGAAATTAGGACAGTGAAGGCAGAAGAAGATGACCCACTTGGGACTGGTTGGTCTTTAATTCCTGTTAATGTAAGATTTTTATATTCAATGAATGTTAAAGTGAGATATGTCAGTGAGGCTCAGTGTTTACATAAATCACAGAGAGAAGACCACATGCTTGATGTGAGCTAATTTTGTTCTTTATTCAGAATACAAATTCACCAGCCTTCCTAGGTGGGACATTCGTCAGACACACGTGGTGTGAATCTGCAAACGGAGCAAACACTGGCGCATGAGTACGCCCAGCAGCTCTCTGCTGAAGTGGGCCGGCGCCGCCTTCACATTGCACATCATCACTGTGGCCGGAGTGACCCCTGGGTCCCGGAGGCGTCTCAGTGAGGGGCTCGTCCCCCGAGGCGGCTCCAGCCAAGGCCTCATCACACCTTTCCTTTGTGTTAACGTGTGTGAACTCCTCCCTGGAGCAGCATCTCTTGACTTCAATGGGTGGCAAATCACCTGGGAATCTTGCTGAGATAAGATGGACTCGAGTGCCTGAAGGGGAACTGAGTGCTTGCCCTTAACCGGACATTCCCCAAGAGGGGCTGGGTCACAGACACTGTTTGAACAAGGACTCGGGCCCCTCGAGGGGTCTGTGGGCTTCTGGACGACCAGCACATGGGCACCACGGAAGCCCTGCCCGCGTGCATGGTGACTGGGGCTGTGCTGCTTGGAGGAGGCGGCGCCCAGGAGGAGACAGCCACGAGCGGCAGGTGAGGACCAGCGCATGCTACCGAGGTGACGTGGGCCTCGGGGCTGTGGTTATAGGCAACTGTGTCACGACGGCCCGAGGGCTTTGGGCCACCCGCATCCTCAGAAGTGTGTGTGGAGGGAGGAGCCTCCACCTCCCCCTGCTCCGCTGCTGACGGAGCGCAGGGCCGGGTCTGACGGCGGGTCTGAAGGAGACGGGTCTGACGCCTCTGACGCGGGTCTGACGGCGGGCTCACTCCAAGCGTCTGTGGATCTGTGGAGCAGCTGCCCTGCCCGAGAAGCTGCCGGCAGCACACGCCATCCTGTGTGCTCGGGGCTCGGCACGCGCTCAGCAGATGCTGTTCAGGAAGGGGGACCTGGGGAAGCCCAGTGATGTGTATGAGGTGAGATGCGCCAGGCGTGTGAGGACCAGGAGGGGTCAGGCCCGGGTCCGCACCCCACCGGGGGCCCAGGGGGCTGTGAGGCGGCCCCTCCCACCTGTACCCCTCCCCCGCCCTCCCTCCCAGGCCCGGCAGCTCTTCCCAGCTCCCGGCAGCAGGAGCCCAGTCCCCTGCGCGGAGAGGTGCTGGTGCCGCCCATCCGATCCTGTCCTGAGGCCCCAGGGCGGGGCCAGGGCAGTCCCCTGTGGCGCCAGGTCGTAAAGGTGGGGCCCTGCAGCTCCACTGGACAGAGGGTCCCCACGAGGGACTGGACCCTGCTGGAGGAGAGACACTGGCCAAGGTGAATGGAACATCAGCGGCCTGTCAGCAAAGGTTTACCTAGCAGACAGGCAGCAGGTCCAGCCGGATCCCCGCAAGGCAGGGGTGCAGGGCCGTCTCCTGAGCTGTCCTGTGTGAGGACACAGTCGGGTCTGGGCCGTCCTGTCTGAGGACACAGTCGGGTCTGGGTCTCAAAGGGCCTTTGGCCTCGCGCAGCCTTTGTCCAGGGAGCATCATGTGGAGCGGGGGTTCCACGTGGTTCACTCGGCCACACTGAGCACCTCTGGCTCTGGGTGTCTTTCGGGGGGTTTTCCAGGGGTGGGGCGTGACTGAGTGATCAGGAATCAATTCGCTTCCCACTTGAGACGAGCCCGCGGCCTGGAGAGGATCAGAGGCAGCCCTTCGAGGGTCTTCTTGTGAGACAAGGGGCTGTGCCTGGGCCTCTGGGCTGCTGTGTCCACGGCGAGGGGGCCTTGTGGTGACGGGGTCAGCAGCCCTGTCAGCACTGCCAGTCCGGCCGCAGCAACGGGTTTGCACCAGTTCTCGGAATCCCTGGCTTCAAGCTCAGGGCTCAGGAGGGAGGCGGACTCATCTTTTCCTGAACTCTCCTCTGGCTCTACTGTGAACAGCGCAGGAGCGTGATTAATGCAAACATTCCTGGCGTACACAGCTAAGAGATGGAAAATCCCCGCCTTCTGTTTATGTGACAAGCTTGAGGTCCATATGGATTCTTCACATAAAGTTATTTCGGGGTGTTTGATGGGTGCACACGGGCAGGCTCTCACGGGGCTGCTGGCCAGACCCCTCCTGCTCCCTCAGTCAGCACACGCTCACTCGGCCTGCTCTGTTGGGGTCCTTGAAATTTAAACAAATGGTGCAGTAAAATAGAAAAATAATGGGGCTGGCCAGCTGTTTAACCCATGCCTTAGTACTTACCGACCTCAATAGGTCCCTGAGTCACTCCGCCCGATATGCCACGTATACCAGTGTCCCTGTTCGGGCGCTGGAGGCCCCAGCGAGAGAGAGAGGCTGATATCCTTTGCTTCATCAGAGCTTAGGTCCCCGGGTCTTTTTTTCTCTCTCTCTCTCTCTCTCTCTCTCCCTCTCTCTCTTTTTCTGGCTGACTCTCTGGAGCATGGAGACCCGTCGTGCTCACTTTTCTGCCCGGGCTTCTAAGACCCCCTCGAGAGGGCGCCTGGTGCCTTCGTGAGCAATGCAAGTCCTGTGTCAAGGACTTCATTGGTCCTCTGCGTAAACCAAGGGATATCAGCCTCTTTCTCTCTTTCACTTTCTTATCGTCGACTCCGTACCACCAGGTTCCGGTCCATTAAAGGACCCCAACACTGCTCTTCAGGCCTGAGACTCAGAGAAGACATGAAGTGCGGTCATAACAGCCGTCTGTGGGTTCCAGATTGTTTGTGACCAAATCCATGGGAAATACCCCCAATTTGCAATGTGCTTTGAAGGGTTGTTTTATTGGCTTTTTAAAAATCAATAACAGTACTCTTTGAAAATTAAAAGAGCTGATTCAAATCTGGGGACAAGAAGCCCATTTCTCTTTGAAGCTTTATCTTAAAAATTTGCAAACTTCAAAGTAAAGCGAGAAGTTGGTAAACTCTGCAGTGTTCTCTGCGCCAGCTGTGTCCCCCACAAAGCTTTTGGTGGGCACATTAAAAACATTTTTGTAATTTAAAAAAGTTTTATTGAAAATATAGTTGATTTAAAATGTTAGTTTCAGCTGTACAGCAAATGATTGTTATACATACTTATAAATATATATGCATTCTTTTTTATATTCCCTTCCATTGTAAGTTATTACAAGATACTGAATATAATTCCCTGTCTATTCAGTAGGCTCTCTTTGTTTATTTTATATATAGTACTGTCTGTATGTTAATCCCAAACTCCTAATTTATCCTCCCCCATCCCCATTGGTAACCCAAAGCTTGTTTTCTAAGTCTGTGAGTCAATTTCTGTTTTGTAAATAAGTTCATTTGTATTATTTTTTTCTTAAAGATTCTGCATACAAGCCATATCATCATCTTTCTCTGTCTGACTTTCTTTACTTAGTATGATCATCTCCAAGTCTATCCAGTTCACTTCAGTTCAGTTCAGTCACTTGGTCATCTCTGACTCTTTGTGACCTTATGGACTGCAGCATGCTAGGCCTCCCTGTCCATCACCAATTCCTGGAACTTGCTCAAACTCACATCCATTGAATCCTTGATGCCATCCAGACATCTCATCCTCTGTCGTCCCCTTCTCCTCCTGCCCTCAATCTTTCCCAGCATCAGGGTCTTTTCCAGTGAGTCAGTTCTTCATATCAGGTGGCCAAAGTATTGGAGTTTTAGCTTCAGCATCAGTCCTTCCAATGAATATTCAGGACTGATCTCCTTTAGGATGGACTGGTTGGATCTCCTTGCAGTCCAAGGGACTCAAGAGTCTTCTCCAACACCACAGTTCAGAAGCATCAATTCTTTGGCGCTCAGCTTTCTTTATGGTCCAACTCTCACATCCATACATGACCACTGGAAAAACCATAGCTTTGCCTAGACGGACGTTTGTTGGTAAAGTAATGTCTCTGCTTTTTAATATGCTATCTAGGTTGGTCATAACTTTTCTTCCAAGGAGCAAGCGCTTTTAACTTAATGGCTGCAGTCACCACCTGCAGTGATTTTGGAGTCCCCCAAAATAAAGTTTCTTACTCTTCCTTTGTTTCCCCATCTGTTTGCCATGAGGTAATGGGACCGGATGGTCTTAGTGTTTGAATGTTGAGCTTTAAGCCAGCTTCTTCACTCTCCTCTTTCACTTTCATCAAGAAGCTCTTTAGTGCTTCTTTGTTTTCTGCCATAAGGGTGGTGTCATCTGCATATCTGAGATTATTGATGTTTCTCCTGGCAATCTTGATTCCAGCTTGTGCTTTAACCAGCCTGGCACTTCACATGATGTATTCTGCATATAAGTTAAATAAACAGGGTGACAATATATAGCCTTGATGTACTCCTTTCCCATTTTGGAACCAGTCCACTGTTCCATGTCCAGTTTTAACTGTTGCTTCTTGACCTGCATACAGATTTCTCAGGAGGCAGGTATTGGTAGTCCCATCTCTTTAAGTTTGTTGTGATCCACACAGTAAAAGGCTTTGGCCCATGTTGCTGCAAGTGGCATTATTTCCTTTTTTTATGGCTGAGTAATATTTCATTGTATGTATGTACCACATCTTCCTTGCCCATTCATCTAAGTTCCTAGGTGGTCATCTGGGTTACTTTCATGTCTTGGTTATTATAAACAGTGCTGCTATGAACATAGTGGTGTGTGTCTTTTCAAACTACATTTTTCTCCAGATATGTGCCCAGGAGTGAGATTGCAGGATCACACGGTAGCTCTATTTTTAGTTTATTAAGGAAACTCCATACCATTCTCCAGAGTGGCTGCACCAGTTTACATTCCTGGTGGGCACATTTTAAAGCTGAACCCACACAACGTATAATCACGTCCATTTATTTCATGTTGCTAACAAAGCGCCGCGATATCGTTGCGGCACCTGAAGCTGACAGTGTCCACCTGGCGTCGCTGACCCCGTCTGCGTTGCTTCCTGGGCTTGGCAGGCCCCTCTCGTGGGTCTAAACCCTTCCGTGCGGCGCGTTTGGGTCCCCAGTCCCTTGGCACTCTCCTGCCCTTTCACAAACGTCTCTGCTGAGGACACTGGGCCACTTCTCTCTTGCTGTGTCTGCATCCTGGAGTCTGCAGGCCCATGTGTTTTCCTCCGTTCTTAGTGGCGTTAGACCTCCTGGGACTTGGTGCGGCTCAGGCTCCTTTGGTCAGAGTCCTCGGGGGAGGGGGTGCTAGATGACCCCACTGTGCAGACAGGAGCCCACGGCTCCCAGCTCGGAAGCCCCCAGAGGTGGTTCTAAAGAAGGCGCGACAGGAGGGCTGAGGTGGAAAGACGCTTTTCTAAGATGCGGGGCAGGTTGCTAGTGTCCCTCTGTCTGTACAAGGGGGCATCAGAACCCATCCCCTCCCCTCTTTTAATCACTGGAGGAGTGACCTTCCTCCTCCCCCACTGCCTTTCCCCTGGTCCCAGGAACACCAAAGGCTCCTCCCTTCCAAGCTCCCTCGGGCCCTCCTTCGTCAGCAGCACCTGCCGTCACGCTGCTCAGGCCCCGTGATACTCTTTCGTTGAGACTCCAGTGGGGCCTGGGTCTGCATCTACCTCCTGGGTTCCCAGAGTCCTTGTCTCATTCCTGACGCCACCCCTCACTGTGGTCCTGATGCTCTTCTCTGCATGTGTCCTGATGTTGGAAACCCCCCGCCCCCGCCTCTGCCATCACTGACCACCTTCCCTCAAAGCTGCAGTTCTCTGGGGTTGTCGCACTTGTTCCTGTAGCTGTGATGGAGAACCATACGCCAACGGCCCCAGATCTACATTTCTGCCCCAGATGTCTGTTGAGATCCGGGTTATTAAAGGTATTCGATGTCTCTACTTAGGTACCACAGTCATCACACACTCAGAGTGTCTTTTCTGGACCCACCCTCCTCCCCTGCAAGCCTGAGCCAAGCCCACCTGGAGTGAGCGTGCATTGCGTACTGGTGTTGCCATCACAGCCGGCCTTGCTGCCGGAGGCAGACATCAGGCATGGAATGACCAGTACCCGGAAGGCTCACCATGCGGGCC